TAAATAGGGGCTCTCCTCCCCTCATTTTCACAGACCACAGCTGCATAGCTCTCCCTTCTCTCTAAAACTTCTCTCTAGAATCCCTCCGACGCATTTTCGGAGTTTCTGAGTCTTTTCAAGAGTGATTTTCAGCGTTCGAGAGGTTTCCGACGTCTTGTAGAGTGAAGGGCTGCCATAAAGCACCCTATTTTTCCAGAGAATTAATATAAAAAGCGTGCTTCGGAGGTTCAAATTCTCTCTTTCCACCTTTACCGCTTTTATCTTAAATTATGCAGTAGACATTAGGGCCATGTAGTCATACTTTTAAATTCCGCAGAATAAAAAGGGCAAAAGTGCGTTTTTCTAGTTTATCAATAAAAATAAGCCGGCCTATCATAGGGAACCCGAAAGGGGCGTTGCAAAGGGACTAATACTCCCTTTGCACGTAACCAACTCCCTTACCCAACTTTGGTTCTAATGACCAAAGTTGGTTTTCGAAAACCAACGCCTTTTTAAAACCCCTTTTCCGATGTTTATGGTAAAAATATCGGTGGCGACTCCATAGAACCCAAAATAAATAAGTCCTTGGATTAGCCCGGTTATCGGACAGCCCAAGGACACTTTTTGAAAACCTCGCCCCTAGGTTAGCCCGGTTGTCGGACAACCTAAAGACGTTGTAACCACCAATAAAAAACGCGAAAACAAGAGGGTCGATAAAACCATCGCGTCGCTCCGACCGCCTCGTTTTTGACGGCGGCGACACCATCTCTTTTCTTGCACCGTGTAGCGTCGCTCGGTGTCATTCAACTTTCGACTTTTGAACGCTATCGGGTGCCTTTCTTGCATCAATACTCCCCCAATAGGAAAGTCAGAGGCGCTAGTGTGAACCTCAAATGGCTTAGTGAAGTCAGGTAATGCTAAGACAGACTCCTGACTCACGGTGGTCTTGAGATCCTCAAATGCTCTTTGACATTCGTTGGTCCATTCCCACGGCTTCCCCTTCTTGAGCAGGTCGGTAAGCAGTGCGGCCCTCGCCGAGTATCCTTGTATGAACCAACGATAATAGTTGACCAGCCCTAAGAAGGATCTTAACTCGGTAACTTTGGTGGGAGCTTCCCATTCCATGATCGCCTTCACCTTTGCCCCGTCCATCCGGATCCTTCCATGGCCTATGACATGTCCCAAGAAGTTCACCTCTTCTTGGGCGAAAATGCACTTGGACTCCTTAACATAAAGTTCGTTCTCTCGGAGTACCTTGAATACAGTACGTAAGTGGTCAGCGTGCTCCTCGAGCGAGTTGCTATATATAACGATGTCATCCAAGTAGACCACCACGAACCGATCCAAGTACGGATGGAATATCTCGTTCATGAGTGTACAGAAAGTAGCTGGTGCATTCGTGAGCCCGAAGGGCATCACTAACCATTCATATGACCCATACCGCGTAATGCACGTGGTCTTGGGTTCGTCTCCCTCGGCGATGCGAACTTGGTAGTAACCCTTATGTAAATCCATCTTGGTGTACACTCGGACTCCCCCAAGTCGATCAAATAAGTCAACAATCAAAGGGATGGGGTAGCGATTCTTGATAGTTACCTTGTTGAGTGTCCGATAATCTACACACATGCGTAGTGTTCCATCATGCTTCTTTTGGAAGAGTACGGGTGCGCCATAGGGGGCCTTGCTCTGGCGGATTTTTCCGGTCTCTATGAGCTTCTTGAGCTGCCTCCTCAATTCCTCGAGCTCAGGGGGAGACATTCGGGGGGGACACGGCTGGTGGCTTGGTGCCTGGCTCCAACTCAATCTTGTGATCCACACCTCGCCTTGGTGGAAGCTTGCTTGGCAACTCAGCAGGCATGACGTCCTTGTTCTCCTCAAGAACTCCTCGGATAAGGGAGGGCACCTTCGGGGATTCCTCCTCATGGTTGTCCTCCTTTAGTACTGCCAAGTAGGTTGGCTCTCCTCGCTTTGCCCCCTTGGCAAGCTGCATCGCGGAGAGTTGCTTGCTAGCACTCTTGTTGTCCCCTTCTATAGTTGGAACCATGCATGGAGAGCCCTTCTCCAATATACAAACAGTACTAAAGGATGGCATTGGTATAGCTGTTACCTGTCGTAAGAAGTCCATGCCGAGTACCACCTTGAAGTCGTCCATGGGTGCTATTGAGAAATTCACGTATCCTTGCCATGTCCCTAGGCGCAGACTCACGTTGCTAGCAATCTCATCGAGTCGACGAGCATTTGCATTGACAGTCTTTAACCACCCAGTTTTCACGGACCAAGATAGTCCTAACCTTGCGGCTTCCTCCTTGGTAATGAAGTTATGACTGGCTCCTGTATCAACCAGAGCCTTTGTCGGAGTCCCGTTAATATGCGCTTCCGCGTACATGAGCCCCTTGCTAGACGTGATGTGCTTTGGCTTGGTATTGAGGGCATTGAGGACTTGAAACGAACCTATCATTGTTGGCTCTGCCTCCTTAGTCTCAGTCTCAGACTGCTCCATGATGGCTGAGAGGGACCCTAGCTTTGGACAATCCTTCATGGCATGTGGCCCCTTGCACACGAAGCAGCCTCCGTTAGGGACAAACGCCTGTTTCTTCTCCTTGTAGCTGCGACGTCCGAAGTTTTGATCCTCCTTGGCCGGCGCTCGTTGCTGGTCTCGGGAGTCTCGGTTCTTGTTGTCCCTTTTATCTCCCCCACCTTTGGCGAGATACTTCTTGTCTTTCTTGGTGGCATCAGAAGATGAGGATGGGCGGAACTCGATTAATGATTCAGCAGCGGCAATTGCATCATCAACGGACTTGATGCCCCGCCATTGTAACTCTTGTTTCGCCCAATGTTGGAGTCCATCCACGAAGAAGAAGAGCGAGTCGTCCTTGGTCATATTGGGAATCTGGAGCAAAAGGGTGGTGAACTCTTTGACATAGTCGCGTATGGTCCCTTTTTGCTTCAGCTCCCGTAATTTTCGTCGGGCCTCGTAGACAACATTCTCCGGATAGAATTGTCGTTTAAGTTCTTTGACAAAGTCCTCCCATGTGTCTATTCGGCACGTGCCTCGCTCGATGTCACCGTGTTTCCTGCGCCACCATAACATAGCAGTATCGGAAAGATAAAGGGAAGCAGTCTTTACCTTGGTAGCTTCATCCGTGAGACTTATGCCCTCGAAATATTGTTGCATCCTCCATAAGAAGTTGCCAACTTCTTTGGCGTCCCTTACGCCATTGTAGCTTGTCAGCCTCGGACACTCCACCCTTGGTGCGGGCGTGGAGTTGCTAGCCTCCCCACTAGCAATCGCCTTCTTGCAAACAGTCAGATCCTCACGCATCCCCTTGATGCTTGCTTGGAGATCCTTCACAAGGTCCTCCAGGTGATCCAAGTGGTCCTCCGTGGAGCTTTGTGCATTGAGCCCCTCTTGGACAACACCTTTGACGGACTCGATTTCCTCCAAGACGTGTGTCTCCAACGTTTTGAAGGTGAACTCGACCCTTTCGAGTTTCTCGGACATTTCGCCAATGACTTGGTCTAACGGCGAGACCTCCGCACGAGCTCAGCTTTGGTCCCGACGTTTCTTGTCCTTGGTCCTGGTGGTGTGTTCCCTCCCTCGGATTTGCTCCTCGCTTACACCCGACCTGGACACATCATGTTCCTTCTCCCCTGCCATACTTACACGGTACCGAACGTTGCTCTGATACCACTTGTCACGCCCTTGTTTCTCAAACTTGGTTGCGTGCGGCCTTAGCCTCTTGTGCGCCCTTCACAACTAGCTAAGTCAGCCTCACCTTGTTCAGGATCGTGCTTGGTGTGTGCAAGTGCTTTGGCTAGAGAAAGTGGGAAAGGATATTTAAGAGAACTTGAAGGGAAAATGCTTGTATTACTTGAGTACAAGAAAACTCTCAAATGCTTGGATGATTTGCAAATGAGGGGGCCTCCTCTATTTATAGGCACCACCTCCTCTAGGGAATTCTCTAGATCCTTCAAGGGTCTTGGTCTTTCTAGAACCTTCCACACAAATCCTACTCTTTCTACACATGTCCTAGAACCTTCTACACAACTCAAGATGATCCTTGCCCTTTCTACAAGTCTCTACAAGGTTCTAGGATGTTCTTGTCCCTACTACAAATATCTACATAATTCTGGAGCCTTCTAGAAGCTTCCAGTCAAGTCTAGGCCTTTCTAAAGGCTTCCATATACAAGTAACTAGGCTTAGTGCGAAAAAAAGGTAGGCAAGACTCGTTCTTGCTCGTGTGCGTGCAGGGAGTGATGCAGGAAGTTACAGCGTGCCCAAAAAGGGAGACCGGAGACCGCGTTTGAAGCCTTTGCCAACTTTCTGTCTCAGGCAAGAGCTGCGGAACTAAAGCACCAACGACTCCTCTTTCGACATTGGCTACTGCTATTGGGTATGAACTTATAAATTCAATTAAGCAGTTGATGCCCTGATCCCGGGAATAAGATAACTTTATCTTCCAGGTATTCACTCATCCCCTCTTAGTGGAAAGAGTGAGTAGATAGCAGAAGTTATTTCATTCCTCATTCTTGGGATATTCGTTAAGTTTGCCCATTAGGTAGGGGTCTTTGTCACCGGTGCTATTAGTAAGAAGGAGCCTTTTCCCTGGGTAGGCTAAGCCAGAAAAGAGAGAAAGAGAAAAAAGAGAATGTTAAAAGGCTACGCACCTTGGTCCAAAGCGAGGATTGGGATAAGTTTTTCCCGTTCTCTTTAGTTCTATTTGAACTAAGCCGAATCGCTATCTCTGGAACCAAAGTCGTACTCTCTTTACTAAAGTCCTAATGTAATGCCCTTTAAACCACCAAAAGGTCCTATTCCGACAACACTAAAAAAGGGCTTTCTCCGTCTCAGTGGACCTTAAACTAATTAGCCATTTCCAAGTTGCTCTTTCATAAGCTCTTTCATAAGCTGTGATGACTCTTTTGAATAAAAAAAGGCATAGTCTATGTCATCTTCTACCCAGGAGCATTTGACTGAAAAAGTATGCCATTAGTAAGACTCTCTAGAAGCCTTAGGAGCTATGGAGTCTGGTGAGGTAGCTCTTGTCTCTTGGTCAGCTGTTTCCGCTCGAGTGAAAATGCTTGATGGGGAGAGATTTGCCTTGGGTTCGCTTTCCGGGTGAGGTTTAATAAAAAAAGTAAAGTAGGACAGCGGTGACCGCGAATGGCTATAGTTCGTCACTTGCGGTATAAAAAGAAGTAAGGAGCTTTGAACTTAGCTTTGAAGATCAGCCCTACGCTAAAGTGCTTTCTTTCTAGTTTGAGAGATGGAAATGCCTAATCAAGTAGCCAAGAATCATTGATTTCGGAGGGGAAATGAATTTAGGAAGAATTCGATCCCAAGTGACATTGAATCAGTTGGGGGTATAAGCGCTGCTATTTCAGCAGTTGGTGTTGGAGGACTGAATGCCAGTCGAAAGGCGCATCTATGACTTAATACCTAATTTGCCATAGATAGAAGGGCTCGATCCCAGACCTAAGTGCAAGGGAATTTTTTTAGGTAGGGCTCAAGCTTTATTTCACGTAGCTGACTTTACCGTCAACTCAATTGGAATAATTTTTTGCTATGTTCGCAGGCAACTGAGACGATCCATCAATGCCCTTATCTGCTTCGAAAGAACCTGTGTCATCCAAACATGGTAAAGAGGTGGCAACTGGATCAATAATAGCTGAAACTTCTACTGTACAGGGTTCGACTTGCCTAATTGTCCAAGCTTGAGATCCATTTTAGAATATGCTTAACATAACACATGCAATTTGAACGAAGTTTTCTCGGAAAGATTTGAAAGTCACTCCATTGGGTTCAATGCCCGCTAGTCCCATGCTTTCTTTCTATTGGTCAACAACCAACCACATCTCTAGATAGTTCTAGACTAACTACTCCGTGCAGTAAATACTCTCTTTCTGTCCGGAGGGAATCATTCTTTCTCAATCAATCATGTCTCAACTGGATAAATTCACTTATTTCACACAATTCTTTTGGTCATGCCTTTTGCTCTTTACTTTCTATGTTCTTTTTCCGCTCGATTCGAGCAGCTCTAGAGTCAGCTCAGGACGAACATAAATAAAAAGGTAATTTCTTGAAAAATTGGACTTGTTGTTTCACCCCAACCCAAGACAAAAGCCATTCTGTTTCACATCCAAAACCAATTCCCAACTGGGTGGAAGAGGTTGACCTTCTAACCGAGGATCAAAACGATACCATAAACGATCTTAGAGTTAAGTGTGAGATTCTTCTAGAATCCTTCTCTAAAAACCAATCAAGAGACCGCTTTACATGGCAAGATATCACACAACGCCTCGTTTTGGAGGGGAAGGGAACGACCGCTGAAGTGGGTGCCACCAGGGAAGACTTCCAACGTCTGCTTGGAGAATTCAAAAATCCAGGAGAGAGCAACGTTTATCTTCGGGTTTTAAAGGCCCTGGAGAAGCATAGACGCTGAGGCACCTTTTATTACTTTACTCAACTCAAGGATGGATAAACTTGGTTGAAACAGGCATTGTTGATCTGGCTGCTGGTCTAGCGCCTAGAGTGCAGCCTGCCTGTTGAAGATCGTAACGTTTGTAACTCAGTGCTCCATACTGGGAAAATGAAAACAGAATTCGTTTGGATCCTCCCACATGTTCAATCTTTTTTTAGCGGTTTCCCCCGAGATCTTTATCATTAATGCAACCTTCATTTATCATTATCCACCATTAGTCAGTAATGTGGGTTGGCTTGGATTACTTAGAGTTGCGCGCCTAGGAGGGCAGCGCGCTTTGGGATGCGGAGGAGCGAAGCAGCTCGAACGAATGAATGTGAGAGGAGCAAAAAAAGCCCAGCTCCCTAACCTAATGCGGCACCGAGTTCAGACCATAGGGAACCGTAGCATGGGAGGATGTATAATCCTTTTGCAGTCGCAAGGTTGGCTAATCGTACACAGCTGGCTCGAATATCCCTGGTTCTGGAAGGCACATGAGTCCGAACGCTATGTTGAATGTGCGACCGACACTACACTACGTAGGTACTTGTGCAGGCGAGGCGTCAGTCGGTCCTAGAAACGGCGGCAGCGGAGCGAGGAGTTAACGACTAGACGTGCTACAACCTAGGGATCACCAGGCAACTCTTTCGCTCTATAGGGATCAGGAGGGCATAACACAATTCTTCTAGGAGGAGAGTTGATTTTCCCGGGTGATTGATCCTGCCATAATGTACTCCTACCTACACGCATCGACAACCGAAGTTGAGCATACATACGACGATCTTCATGCGTGAATAGCCGGGAGGAAAGAAAGGGCGGTAGATGATAATGAAAAAGGGGGCCGCGTCTGGACGGGCGGGCGAAATGGATGAGCGAAAGGTGCCATGCCATGGAGTGAGGAATATCCTGAGTCTCATGTAAGATAACTAAATGCACCTCGAGGTGCTACCAAGGAACTAGGGGACCTTCTCGAGCACAGGATAGGAAATTGAGAGATAGAGCTAACCTATTCGTTATGGGGAATCAATGCTCCGGGCCGAATAGAAAGAATAAAGCTTACCTTCGGCACTTGGCTTTATCCGGCGCATATTAGCTTAGTTGCACTTAATAGGCCGGCTTCCTCCTTGGCGGCCACTTTCCTTACCTTACCCATGCTACACTCCCACTCCAAGCTATGCCTTGCTAGCTGAGCAAGATGCATTGCGATTTCCTCTTCTGTGGACGCACCAGAAGGAATATGATCCAGGACGAGAAGAGAAAGACTTTTTTTATTTTTAGTTTATGGCAGGCTTTCTCTCGTAAAGCCAAAGACACCCCAAGACAAGGGGGAAGGGGACATGATCAATAGAACCTGGCTAGATCAGGGCTGGGATAGTGACACCCATTCCTAACCAGTTTCGAAAAGGTTCACTCATGCTGGAGGGAGCATCCCCACTTAGTGATCGGTCCGCTAGTTCGTGCAAATCCGAATAAGTTATCATGGACGAGCCACATGTAGGGAAACTTGCACGTGTGGTTCTGGCCGGGCTTTCCTGAGGTATCTAATAACCTTGCTTCTGCTCGCCGCTAGCGCACCTCTCCTAACTATTGCCCATTTATTCCAGAATAATCTTTTTAGGAGGGACAATTTTACATATTTCTACCAAATCCTTCTATTATTAAGTACGTCTGGTACCATTTCAATGTGTTTCGATTCTTCCGAACAAGAGAGGTTTGATGCTTTTGAATTCATTGTATTAATTCCACTTCCTACTCGCAGTATGCTCTTTATGATCTCGGCTCATGATTCAATTGCCATGTATTTAGCTATTGAGCCTCAAAGTTTATGTTTTTATGTGATGGCAACATAAAAAAGAAAGTCTAAATTTTCCACGAAAGCCGACTCAAAATATTTGATCTTAGGTGCATTGTCCTCTGGAATCTTACTGTTTGGGTACGACCGGACAACTACCGATATCTAAAAATATCCTTTCTTAGCTTAGAATGTTGTTAAATATATATCGTAAACTATCGGATCGAGTATTACTTAGATGTGAAACTTGCAGACCTCATTGGTGATCTTGAAAGTGATGAAGATCTTATTGAATCATTTGATTAAACAAAGATCTTGTTGATTTGATGAAGTCAAAATGAAGTCAAAGGCTATTCTGGTGAAGTCAAAGGTTACTTGGATAAAAGGGTAGAGTGATTAGTGAGTCTGCGTCTATACATAGGTATAATCATTCATATCTCTCTGCTGCATGAGGTTTCATCATTTAAAAGATTTTGCAAAATGCCTCTAAACACATGTAATTTGTTAAAAACCAAAGTAATCGGTTAAATGGTTTTTAAGTAATTGTTTTAACTGATATTATATGAGTTTTATCAATTAAAATGTTCTTAACACTTACATAACATGTTTTTAACTGATAGGTTTTCGAAACAATCGATTAAAACCTTTTAAAACATACACCGAAACTGTTTTAATTGATATATCTTCGAATTAATCGATTGTTTTTATTAAAGGAGTTTTTGAAAACCTTCACGCAGTATTTTAACCGATTTAGATTCGAAATAATCGATTAAAATAACTTAGAATGTTTTGGAAAATGTTCGCAAGTATTTTAATCAATACAAACTCAAAATAATCTATTAAAATAACTTGAAGCATTTGGAAATATGTTCTGTCAGTATTTTAATCAATGTAAATGCGAATTAATCGATTAAAACCACTTGAAAGTTTTTGAAAGAAGTTCTATCAGGATTTTAATCGATGTGTTATCAGTTAAAATGACTTTAAAAGTTTTATGAAACTATTTGGCAGGATTTTAATCGATTAAAATGCGAAATAATCGATTAAAACAACTAAGAGATTTTTTTCCAAAGTGTTTTAATCGATTAAAACAAATTGTTATCAGTTAAAATCACTTAGAAAGTTTTATAAAAACATTTGGCAGTATTTTAATCGATTAAAAGGCGAATTAATCGATTAAATCAACTTAAGGAATTTTTTAAAAAGTGTTTTAATCGATTGAAACAATGTCGCATCAATTAAAACAAATATGGAAAATGATCAAGAACATTTTAATAGATTAAAAGAAGTTTTAACAGATTAAATCAAGACTTTTAACATATTAAAAGATTGTTTTACTAGATTAATTAAACTATCAATTTCAACAATCTTCTATAAACATGATTGCTTGAGTCTTTTAAAATATACCTTTGAGCAATTAATCAAGCAATCATAAGAGCTATTTTCAAGAAAGAATCACACAAGTTTTGTGAAGTTTTTCAAAGTTCTTTCTTGAGGCATTTTCTGCATTTCTTTTGTGAAGAAACTCATTCTGCAGAGCAGCATAATCCAGGTTTGAGTGTTCTAGTTTCTTCTCTTTGTTTCTTTTACATTTCATTACTATATTGTGAGTGTCTGGAAGTGTGGGCACTGGTTTCTGTGGTTGGAATTTGGCTGCAGGGTGGTTCAAGAACTAGAAGTTGGTTCTTGGTGAAGGTTTAGGTGCAAGGACTGAAATTTTGGTTCTTGTGGTAGATTGAGTATGTGATTGGAGTTGTAATATGTAAAACATTCAATCTAGTGGAACTCAGTTGGAATTTGGCTAAGAACTGGACGTAGCCCTGGGATTGGGTGAACCAGTATAAATCTTGGTTGTATCTCTCTAAACCTTTCTCTCTTTAATTCTGCTTCTGCTTTTATTTTGATTGTTTGTTTTGTTTGATTCAAGAATTGGTCAGAACTCTTAATCTTTGAAATAGATAATCTGTAATTTGCGAAAATCTTTCAAAGATCAATTCACCCCCCCTCTTGATCTCAGCCTCCTTTTCTAACAATTGGTATCAGAGCAAGGGTCTTGAAAAATACTCAAGACTTTCGGTCCAAATCTTTCATGGCTGAAAACAAATTACCTTTTTCTGAGGATGCTTGTATTGATAGACCTCCACTGTTTTGTGGTACAGATTATTCATTTTGGAAGTTA